AATTTAGAGGGTCTGCGTCTGGCCTGGTCATGGATAAACAAGGGAGCATCTGGGAGTCTTATCCAACTTATATGGAAAGTCACTGGTTCTTTCCAGTAGGGTGTTTTCTGGAACCAAAGAGTGGAGGGATTCCTTAACTTTCACTATTTCTACAAGCAAAGGACAAAGGTAAAATTCAATACTGTCAATTGTCACAAGTGAAATGGCTAGATCATATGGTAGGTGTATGTTTAACTCTCTTCCTACACTGCCAAATGGTTTTCAATCGTGGTGGTACTATTTTATGATCCCATCAGCAGTATACAAGAAGTCCCAGGTCCTCCACACTCTTACTAATACTTGGTAGGATCAGTCTTCTTTGTCCATTCTAGTAGGTGTGAGATGGTGTCACACTGTGCTTGTAATTTGCATATCCTTGATGATTAATCATGTTGAGCATCTTTTCATGTCTTAATTTTCTATCTGTATGTCTTCTTTGGTGAAGTCTGTTCAAATATTTTGTCCATTTAAAAAACTGAATTGTTTTATTTTATCTATTGACTTTTAAGTGTTCTTTCTATATTCCGGATACAAGTCTTTTATCAAATATAGGCTTTGCAGATATTTTCTTCCAGGCTGTAACTTACCTTTTCAGAAAGTCTTTGGGAGCTATGGCTTAGTGAAATGCTTGTGTCAGGTTCTCCTCAGCCCATCCCCCTGGTCACAGCCACCCCCATAGGTTCCATTTCTATATCTGTGGTGACCTCCTTCTGCAAGTCAGGCTGAAGTCCCAAGCTCCTGACCCATGTCTCCAAGTGCCCACCATGCAATTGCCCTTTGGATGCCCCATGCAAAACAGAGCTCACCATCCTCTCCCCAGACCCGCTGCTCCTCCAGGATCCCTGTCTCCATGAATGGCCCTGCACCTACCCGCCTAGAGAACCCCAGGAGTCGGCCTTGGACGTCCTTCCCACTTCCACCTCCTGTCATCCAGAGCTGTCAGTTCTTCCTCCTAAACACCTCTGGACACTCACCTTCTCCGCCACACACCACCATTGTTCTCACCTGCACCACTCACCCAGACACTCTTCCTTCCTTACAGGGGTGGCCAAAGGAAAACTTCTCAAATACAAGTCGGGCCATGGCACGCCGGTAAGGACTTTCCAGCGGTCTCCTGTGCACTTAAACAAGATCCAGGCTCCTTCGTGGGACAAGTAAACCCCTTGATGATCTGGTCCTTGAGTAATGTGGGGGCCTCTTGCCCAGAGCCCCTCACACTCTTCAAAGCCAGCAGCTGAAGAGCCAGCTGTAGCTGTCTGTGGAGTTCAGCCGCTGCTCCCTGCGTGCCTGCCCTCTGCCGGGGACGTAGCCTCGTTTCCCCACTTCCCCACCTGCGCCCAGCAGCGCAGGTGAAGGCCGGGCTGCTGAGAGAGGCTGGGAAACGCTGGGCTTTGGCGTCAGGAATGCCAGCTCCACTACTCGCTGCCTGTGTCACCCTGGGAAAACAGCTCTGGCCCCAAGTTCCCCGTAAGTAAAACAGGGACAGTCATCCCTCCCCTCCTCAACGACCTATGTCACAATCAGAAGCCACAAATCTCTGCCACCCAGCACGCTGCCCTGGTCTCCTTCACCACTTTCCCCAGCAATGAGAACGGCGCCAGGCCCAGAGCAGGGCCGACACTGGGTGAGGTCAGCAAGGCGTTTAGGGAAAAACTTTCGGGCAGCGCCCACTCTCGGGCTAGGGCAAGCGCAGGGTCCCTCCGAGAGGGAGGGTCTCCTGAGAAAGCGCCTGGGGCCCAGATGTGCCAGCAGCCTGAGGACCGCCCGGAACCGCCCTGCCCTGCGTTGGCCCGGCTCCTCTGGGATTGGCGCCCCGCTATTGCCCATTGCCTGTGACGTCACAGGGACGCGACCGCGCCTCGCTCCGGTACGCCGGCCTAGTGGCCCAAGGTTCACCGCGGCTGCAGTTCGCCGGCTGCCCGCGGTCACTGGTGCCAGTGCTCAGGCGCCCGCAGCCCTTGACCTTCGGCCCCGCGAGCCCTAACCCTATAGCGCAGGTAGGACGGGCCTGGCTGGGTCAGGCCAGAAGAGTGTCCCTGGCACGGGTCTCCCGCGGAAGGCGGAACTGAAACCGGGTCCCCGGCCGCTACCGACCACACGGACATGAGTGAGCGCTCACTAACTGCCGGGGACGGAGTTGGGCATATAGGGAAACTGGGGGACTGGCGCGGGTTCCAGGCGAGTGGACTGTGGTTTGGGATCCGACGTGCACACCCCAGTCTCAGGCTTTCGAAGATGGAGGCTGCTGTTTCCACCGCAGGTCACCGCCCCTTTGCTTACGGACTCGGATTGAGCTCGGGCTGCATGACATAGCAGTTGCTGCAGAAGCCCCAGGGCCACTTTCTGACGAGTACCTTGGGCACGTGACTTCGCCCCTTTGAGAGTCAGTGTCCCCTTCTGTAAAATGAGGGCGCTCTACCTGAGGCGATTGCTGTAAGGTTGGAATGAACCTGCATGTGTGTCAGGAAGGGCGCAGTCAGTGTGGCCCGGGGTTCTCTTGGAAAGTAGATAACCAGCCTTGTCCCTGAGGCAACCGCCAGAGGGCGCCTGTAGTTTCCCCACGCATGGCTGTTAGCACTTAGGTCCTCTGGAGGATCCCCTGTGGGAGGTCCCTACTTCTAACCACAATTTTTAAGGATTTCCTATGGAAGCTCGCCACTTCTCACCACAACATCCTGGGTTAAAATGTCCTTGGGGCTGGTGTCACACACCTGTAATCCCATCACTTTGGGAGGCCAAGGCGTGTGGATCACGAGGTCAAGAGATGGAGACCATCCTGGCCAACATGGTGAAACCCCGTCTCTACTAAAAATACAAAATTAGCCGGGTGTGGTGGTGCATCCTTGTAATCCCAGCTGTTCCAGAGGCTGAGGCAGGAGAATCCCTTGAACCCGAGAGGTGGAGGTTGCGGTCAGCCAAGATCCAGCCACTGCACTCCAGCTTGGTGACAGAGGGAGACTTTGTCTCAAAAAAAAAAAAAAAAAGACAAAGTCCTTGGTGGGGGAATGGGAGCTGAAGTTAGATTTTCTTGCTTGCATTTCAAGCTTCTGAACCAAGGACTTCAATGTTCAATGTCACCTAGGCTTAGATTCACATCCCAACTCCTTACCCTCCTAGCTCTAGGACTGTGTAACCTTGGCCAAATCCCTTAACCTCGCTAAGCTTTAATTTTTTCATCTATAACATGGGGCTAATCTTCCACAATTGTCAAAAATTAAATCAGACATTGTAGGTAGAGCACTTAATAGTTGGCATTCAGCGGCAGCAGTTACCATTATTTTTGGGTGTGGAGTGTCTCAGCGTGTGCAGTTTGGCTCAAACAGCCTTTTGACAGTGGCACAGTTGGTGCTTGTGTAAGACAGCAGGGTGGGGAACTCAAAGCCCTCGGTTTTCTGGTCAGATTGGCGGGCCACAACAGTGGTGACCTAAGTCTAAGGAGTCTTTAACTGAACAAGGCAGATTGAATCATCCAAGTGAGGACCAAGAGGGTGGGGCTCAGCTGCCTCCACATTTTGGGGCATAAAAGGCTATACAACCAACCTTTGCTGAAAGAGCAAGGAACCATTTAGGGAAGCTACCATGTGGTAAGAAATAGAGGCCAGACTTGGATTCAGAACAAAACAAAAACTAATGTTTAAGTGGAGCCTTGGACTCAAAACAGGACCTGAGCCTTGTGGATTTTTTTATTTTTTATTTTCGAGATAGAGTCTTGCTCTGTCATCCAGGCTGGAGTGCAGTGCTGCGATCTCGGCTCACTCCAACTTCCATCTCCAGGGTTCAACCGATTCCTGTATCTCAGCCTCCCTAGTAGCTGGGATTACAGGTGCCAGTCACCACTCCCAGCTAATTTTTTGTATTTTTAGTGGAGACAGGGTTTCACCATGTTGACCAGGCTGGCCTTGACCTCCTCACCTCAAGTGATCCAACCGCCTTAGTCTCTCAAAGTGCTGGGGATTATAGGCGTGAGCCAGTATGCCCGGCCCTTGTGGATACTTTCTAGGTGATTTGAGGAGGAAAGGCACAACCATGTCTCCTGAAGTTAACAAACACTAAGCTTTCCCAAGTATTGAAAAGTCAACGCCCTGCTTCTGTCATTTGTTCATTCAGCAGAAAGTCACTGAGAACCTTCTGTGCAGCAGGCACAGTGCTAGTCAGTGAGAGAGACAGATGTGTCCCCTGGACCCAGGGAGGAGATGAGCAAGTGATACCTGTCAGGCCCAGACCCTGCTCTTGGTCTGCAACCTCTTCCCTCAGGCAACTTGTTCTCTATCAGGAGAAAGGAATTATCTGGAGAGGCAGGTAAGGCGCTGCTCCTAGAAGACTGGGACAGCCTGGTAAGGGTCTAGCTTGATCATGTGACCATTGGAAACCATTTTAAGTAGGAGGTTAACAGGAACAAATAAACGTTTAAAATCATCTGCATATGGCCGCTGTGAAGCCTATTTTACCAGCAGTCTCTTGCCCAGGCTGTGCTGCCACTCAGCTAATTCCTGGTCCTGCTCATTCAGCCCAGTTCAGCTCATATCACTTCCTGAAGAAACTAGACAAGAGTAGGGCCCCTGATCATCTTCACAGCACTAGTCCTGATAGCTGAATCTTAGGTCAGTTGTTAACGTCTGTGACCTCTGCAGGGAGAATGGCAGGGCTGAGTTTGAGCTACATTGTTTCCCCAATGCCTGCAGCAGAGCCAAGCACAGTGGGAACTTTCAGAAAGCAGCGGTTGAAGGAACCCTGGAATCCCTGGGACTTAGTGCCTAGCACATAGTAATTGCTCCTCTAGAAAAGTTTCACCTTATGAAGTACAGCAGGGTAAAATACAAGCCTGGACCACTCCCATGTGGTATGCAGGGAACAGTTGATGGGGCAGAGGGCCTTGGGCTATAGCCCTAGGAATTTCAGGGATCCTGATGATGGCTCTGGCATCCTCCGTCTCATGGATCCTGCTTTTTTCTTTGCAGGCTCTGATGCTGGTCTCCGGTAGAAGCAGGTTGCTCACAGCTCTGCTGCAGGCTCAGAAGTGGCCCTTTCAACCATCCAGAGACATGAGACTAGTGCAGTTCCAGGCACCCCACCTGGTGGGGCCTCATTTGGGCCTGGAAACAGGGAATGGTGGAGGAGTTATCAACCTCAACGCCTTTGACCCCACACTCCCCAAAACAATGATACCATTCCTTGAGCAGGGAGAAGCCACCCTGTCAGTAGCAAGAAGGTAAGTAAGGGGGCAGCATCGCCCTGAAGCAGCTGCCCTGGTCCCCCTGCACCCTCCCGCCCCATCCCTGCTCTGGGAAATGGCACCAACAAGTAGCTCTTTTGGAAGTGTTCAGAGTAACCCCACTTTCCTTTCCCACCTGTTCTCTTTAAAGATGCTTAGAAATCTTATATAACAACATCTTCAATTTTCAGAGGGGAAAACTGAGGCCTAGGGGAGGTGATTAACCACGCAAGGCCATACATTTGGTGCTGGAACCAGGACTCTATATTTCATCATACTGCCTCCTCTGGGAGTGGAGTCCTTGACTAACAGGTCTGGGTCTAGGGGTCCTAAAAGGCATCTTATGCAGCTAGGGGAGTGATTTAGACTCCTGGATCCTGCAAGGAGAGAGGACTGCAAAGAGGTTTTCTACAATACAATTGTTCCTGGGTTTGGACTAGATTAGGTGAGAGTGTCCCTGAAGCCTGGAGCCCTGTAGAATCTGGTCTAAGGAGTTGAACAGTAAATTAAAAACACTCTAAAGATGTCATTTTCATCTGTTAAAGTGGGAAAAGCCCACAGTATCATTAACTGTATGTTCCCATATTGCCATATTCTGCAAAGATTGGAAACAACCTCCATGCCCCTCATTAGGGACTTGGGTATATCTCTGTAGAGCAGTAACATGCAGCCACAAGAAAAAAAGGGGATGCTTTCTATGTATTGTTACATATTGTTAAGGAGAGATCTCCAAAATCAGTTGTTTTTTTTTTTTTTTAATGTAAATAATGTGCTATCATTTGCATACAAAAGGGTTCGAAAAGAATATCCATAGAGTAGCAATAAAGAGCCAGGGGAATGGGGTAACCAGAAAGGGAAACCTTTCCATGTATTCCAATTTGCATCTTTTGAATTCTCTTACATGGACAAGAGTTACCTAAGGGGAAGAGGAAATCAACACTGGATAAATAACAGCCCTGCTCTGATATCAAAGGACAATAGCTGGGCTTGATTTTCACACTGACTCTGATGGTTGATAGAGCTAGGAAATCATTTCAAAAAGCAAAACCTGTAGCTGCTGCAGGATCTGCCCAGCCTGCCCGGGATTTGCAACCTGTTCCCAGCCAGACCGTCTCACTTGCTCTGGTCTCTACAGAGCCTTGGCTGCCCAGTTGCCAGTCCTACCACGGTCGGAGGTAACCTTCCTGGCTCCAGTCACGCGACCAGATAAGGTGGTGTGTGTGGGCATGAATTATGTGGACCACTGCAAAGAACAGAACGTGCCTGTGCCCAAGGAGCCCATCATCTTCAGCAAGTTTGCCAGCTCCATCGTGGGGCCCTATGACGAAGTGGTCCTCCCACCAGAGAGCCAGGTCAGTGCCTCCCCACTGCTCTCCCTAGTCACTGGGCCCACCAGAAGGGCGTTCTGAGCTCAGTATTCAGCCTACTGGAGCCACCTCTCACTCAGCAGTGTATTCAACAGAAACTCTAGGCGATTATACACACAGTAATAACACTGGCCTTGGAAATAAAGTTAAGGTACATGTTTTCCCAATTACAAAAGCAATACACCTTCATTGTAGAAAATTAATAAAATAGAGATAAACATTAAAAAATTATGTCATGCGTATTCCCACTGCCCAGGACTCACAATATTAATTTTTTTCTGTCTTCCCAGTGTTTCTCCACTCCTGTATATGTTTATACTGTACATAGACTTACCTTTAACTTAAGACTGCATCAGAAGCATTTTTTCATGTCATTAAATACTCTCCCTGACGTATTTTAGATTACCATGGAGTTTTCTGTTGGACAGGGTAGTTATATTCCCAAGTACCTTACTGCTGGATAGTTATTTCCAGTTTTTGTCTTCTATAAATAAACGTTGCAATAAACATCCTTTTCTAAATGCTTTGTATGTCCATTAATTATTATTTTTTTGAATGAACCCTTAGAATTTAAATATGTCAAAGTATAGACAGTTTTTCGAAACTTTTGAAAAATTCTGCAAATTGGCCTTTAAAAAAAAATTGTAAAAGCAATTTACCCATTTACCATTAGTGAATATACCCTTACTAACACTGGTTACTTTTTCTCTCAAATTTTTATTTTAGAAATGTCATGGAAATTATAGAAAAGCTAGGAAAGTAATAAAGTGAATGCTCAGATACTTTTTCACCTGGTTTCATTGTAAACATTTGGCCTTATTTGCTCTTTCTCCCTTGCCTTCTCCCTGCCCACCATATGGCAGACATACACATGTGTGTGTGTGTGTTTGCAGGGCATAGGGTGGAGAGCACCTTGCAAATGCTAAGACAATTTAGTCATAAAAACTTAAATAGGCGTCTTCTAAGAACAATGACAATGGCTTGCATGACCATACCACCATTATCACAACCAAGAAAATTAACTTAAATAATATTTAATATGTAATCCAGTTGCCCCAATTCCCAATTGGAAGTACTGCTGACTGCCCCAAAGATGACTTTTAATTTTGTTACTTTGTTTGTTGCAAACAAACAAAGGGCTGTATTAGTCTGTTTTCAGGCTGCTGATAAAGACATACCCAAGACTGGGCAATTTACAAAAGAAAGAGGTTTAATTGTACTTACAGTTCTGTGTGGCTAGGGAAGCCTCACAATCATGGCAGAAGGCAAGGAGGAGCAAGTCACATCTTACATGGATGGCAGCAGGCAGAAAAAGAGCTTGTGCAGAGAAACTCCCATTTTTAAAACCATCAAATCTCATGAGACTCACATTCACTATCACAAGAACAGCATGGTAAAGACCTGCCCCAATGATTCAGTCATCTCCCACCAAGTCCCTCCCACAACACGTTGGAATTATGGGAGCTACAAGATGAGATTTGGGTGGAGAAACAGCGAAACCATATTAAGGGCCAATTCGTAAATATTAGGCTGTGAGTGTCATATCGTCTCTTCTGCAGCAATTGAACTCTGCTGCTGTAGTATGAAAACCACCAGGGATGATACAGAAATGAATGATGGGTTTACAATCCAACTTTATTATAGCAGACCATGAGCTGGCCATGGTTTGCCAACTCCTGACCTCAAACAATCCTCCCTGCCGTTTCCTTGAAGAGTCCAGTTGTCTCATAGCGCGTTTCACACCCTGGGTTTGTCTGGTTGTTCCTTCATGATAAGTGTCAGGGTAAGCATTTTTATCAAGAGGTCTATAGAGATGTACATTTCCTATTACATTCCACTGGGAAGCTCATGTCAGCCATCCCAGAATTTGGCCACTTGGTTTACCTGACATTCACTAGATCCCTCCATTGTGAAGATGCATTTCCATTTTTATAATTAATAAGCAATCTATGGGTGGTAGTTTGAGATCACATAACTATCTTACTGCCCCATAGCTTCTCATCCAGGGATCCTGTGGTCGTCCTTACTGTATCTATTATTGCGCTGAGGGTTAGAGAACAATGACCTTTTTGTTGTTTTTCTAAGATGGAGTCTCACTTTGTTGCACAGGTTGGAGTACAGTGGCATGATCTGCGCTCACTGCAACCTCAGCCTCCTGGGTTCAAGTGATTCTCCTGCCTCAGCCTTCCAAGTAGCTGGGATTACAGGCATGTACCACCTTACCTGGCTAATTTTTTTTTTATTTTTAGTAGAGACAGGGTTTCACCATGTTGGCCAGGCTGGTCTTGAACTCTTGACCTCAGGTGATCCCCCCACCTCGGCCTCCCAACGTGCTGGGATGACAGATATGAGCCACTGCACCAGGCCCAGAAGAACAATGACTTTTCTAAATCATGCCTTATGTTTTTATTGGCTAGCATTCTTCTATGCAGAAAAGCTGCCTCCGTCCATTTCATTTCTGTGTCTTCAGTATCACTGTGAATTCATGATTTTTGTTTTTACTCAGTTGTTTGAAATTCATCATTTACATTCTTTAGATGACCTCAGTTTGGCTGGTGAGGGGCCATTAAGTTGATTCCATCCCCACCACTTTTAATATATCCTTGCTTTCTGGCTAAGATGTTCCAGTCTCATCATGTACTGTCTGTCTTGGACCTAGAATTAGCTGTTTCCCCCAGGAACTCAGTGCTTCTAAGTAGGGCATGGTATTAGAGACCAACATCTGGATGTCAGGTATACTTACTTATACCAACTCTGCGTATTATTAGAAAGAGATGCCAATTTTAAAAGCCAAATTATATCTATTTTGTAGTTGTACTTTATGGACTATGGAAGAGGCTGAGTATTTCTTCATGTTTTGTGGCCATGTGTATTACCTTTTTATGAATTGCTTATTCAAGTCCTTTGTGGAATGTCAATCTTTTTTTTACTAAAGTGAGTTAATACATTAAAGCACTTAGAATAGTGCCTGACAGACAGTGCAGTGACATATTGCTAGGTGGTATTACTTCATATTTATCCTTTGTTGCAGGTATCCAGAGTGACTTAAACTCAGACCCCTGGACACACGTGTTGCTCTTCTGCAGTCACAGTGGGGTGGGGACCTGTGCCTGCATCCCATGACGCTGCCTGCCACTGCCCAAAATGAATGTATGGGTCTATAAGTCACACCTCCCTTGTCATTCACGTGGCTCTGGTTCATAGTGATGGCAAACATGGGCTGGCAGCCAAGCCATACTGACAGAGATCCACGGTGTGCAGCCTCCCAGCATCAATAATGGGCCCAGAGGCCACTGCAGCTCACTGCTCCTCTCCCACCCTACAGGAGGTAGACTGGGAAGTGGAGCTGGCCGTGGTCATTGGAAAGAAAGGCAAGCACATCAAGGTGAGGTGGAAAGGGTGGGCTCCCAGGCTAGAGTGCAGCAGAAGCCCCAGCTGCTGCCTCTCCTAATGCTGACCTCACTCACCAACACACGAGTGCCAGCTGTCCCTGACACTAGGAAGCGGTCAGCCTCCTTGCTCCCTGACGCTGCCTTGCCCTTCACCCACCTTCGACTGGCTCTGGCTACTAACATGGGATAACGGCTTTGAGATCCTTTGCTATAGGGGTTGGTGTCACCCGTGATCTCACCTCCTATATGGCCAAATCCCCTGCCCCCATAGGCCACAGATGCCATGGCCCATGTGGCCGGCTTCACTGTGGCTCATGACGTGAGTGCCCGTGACTGGCAAATGAGACGCAATGGGAAACAGTGGCTGCTGGGAAAAACCTTCGACACCTTCTGCCCTCTGGGCCCTGCCTTGGTGACCAAGGACAGTGTAGCAGGTAGGTTCTTGGTTCTTGCCCCCTTGTGCCTACCACTGCACAGATGAACAGCACTCCAGGGAGGAGTGTGGGTTCAGTACTTGTGCACCTGCCCTCCCTGGCTGCCCTTTCACTGCTGACTCCATACAGGGCAAGTCTCTTATCCCAAGCCATGAGGTCTCCCATGGGCTTCCTTCCCAAGCCCCCTAGAGGGAACTTGACTGCAGAGGATATGAAACTGCATGCATGAAGTAAATTACAAAGAACTCCGAGCTGATGGGTGGATCAGGCTTCCTGTGGCTGCCACCATCTGGAACAACCTTTAAGTTGAGCATCATGGAGCACAGCTATCGCAAGGCCAGTCATTTTCCGCAGTACAGGAGATGAGAGCCAATGGGACTCACCCAGCCACTGTGGAAACAGCACTGACCACACAGTGAGGAGGGCGCGCCAGGACAGAGGCAGTGGTCCAGAGAGCAGAGCGTATCCTCTAACGCACAGCCATCCACAACCGTGGTGGAGGTGGGGGATTTCCATGTGGGCCAGCCTTGCCGGGATGCTGAAAAGCTCAGTGCCCCACAGCACCCCGTGCAGAGTCCTTGGCAAAGTTAAATTGTGTTTCAGCTGCTCTACTTAAGAGGGTAGAACACAAAGGCCAGCAGCAAAACAGTTAAAAGCGCTGGTTAGCCAGGATGCTCTCACGGTAAGCCATCCCCCACCAGCTTCCAGCACACGAGGCTTCACTCCCTGCTCGCGCCATTACCTCACTGCCCTATCAATGTTGAGTCTTTTTGTTTTGTTTTGTTTTTGTGGTAGGGTCTCTGTGTCACCCAGGCTGGAGTGCAGTGGTGCAATCTCAGTTCACTGAGGCCTCAACCTCCAGGGCTCAAGCAAACTTCCCACCTCACCCTCCTGAGTAGTTGGGACTACAGGCATGCACCACCACGCCTGGCTGTTTTTATTATTTCACTACATTCCCAAGGCTGGTTTTGAACTCCTTAGCTTAATCAGTCCTCGCCTGCCCTGGCCTCCTAAAGTGCTGTGATGACAGGCATGAGCCACCACACTTGGCCCTGCCAAGTCATCTTTGTATCTACAAGTGTCATCCTATACTGTAGACAGATGCCCCCTTTTTTTTTTCCAAGACAAAAACCCTAGCCATTTTTTTCTCCCCCTTCAGAGTCTGGAATATCCTCTTAACTCATCCAAGTGACTACTGCCTGGTGCTCTTGGTGGGAATACAGGGAGGCCTGAGAAGGCCAATGTCTATCAGAAAGTTCTAATGTAGAGCACTGAGTCAGTGTAGGCACAAAGCCTTTTCACCTGGCAAGTCATGAAGGCCCCGTACAGTTGTGTTTTTGAAATATGGGGGGTTTGAGGGGGGAAAAGGGATAATTCCAAGGTACCATTTTGCATTTCAGATCCACACAACTTAAAGATCTGCTGCCGAGTGAATGGGGAAGTGGTCCAGAGCAGCAACACCAACCAGATGGTGTTCAAGACAGAGGAGCTGATAGCCTGGGTCTCCCAGTGAGTGACAGGGCCTGTCCTGCCAGCCCTGCTTCATCTGCCACACATGTGGAGGCAGATGCGAGCCCTCCACCCTTGGCTGTGGCCACCTCAGTCAGCCCCTGGTTTCACCGGGTCCTCTTGCTTTTCTCCAGGTTTGTCACCTTTTACCCAGGGGATGTCATCCTAACTGGGACCCCCCCAGGTGTTGGTGTATTCAGGAAACCTCCTGTCTTTCTCAAGGTAGGTTAGTGAAAAGGAAAGAGAGCAAAGGCCCCAAAGGCCTGGCAGGCTTGGCTGAGACTGGAGAAGTACAGGCTTGCATGTGTGTATGTGTGTCTGACAGAAGGGCTGACCCCTTCACGGCTTCCTGCTCTGTTGCAGAAGGGGGATGAAGTCCAGTGTGAGATTGAAGAACTAGGTGTCATCATCAACAAGGTGGTGTGATGGCTCCTGCACAGGCCCTGGACATAGGAGGCGGGCATCTGCTCCCACTCAGCCTAGCCCAGGGAAAGGCCCAATGCCAGGTGTGGGCAGGGGCCAGCCCTGCAAACCTCTTCTTCTAGGTAGAAGGGAGAAAGAAAACTCTCTTCAATAAACTCATCGGGCCAAAGCAGCAGCTTGGCTTCTGCTACTGTTTGTCCCTTTTGGGCTTTGTTTCATGGGATAAGTGGGGTCACTTTTGTGGGACTGGGGAAGAAGAAAGCCAATACACACATACATGTATGCCAAAAAGATACTGCTGGGCTTGGGAAAAGACAACACGACCAGTCTTCTTGTTTATTATATCAAAGGAGGGAGAAAACAAGAAATGGCAAGGGACAACCAAGCCTCAATGATTTTATAGACCAGGTAAGGGTTTGCAGCCTCCTGTCTCTCTTCTGGCTCTAGGACACAGCTGTGTTCTGGAGCTGAGAAGTCTCAGCACAGGCTCCACCTCACAGTTCTAGCTACAAATGAACTGCCGGAAGAACTGTTCTAGTTTTTCCTGATTGTCCTGGCTGGCAAAAGTAGAAGACAGGTGGAGCCTGGGGCCTGCAGGGCTCGGTATCTGCTGCAGAACCTGGGCCATGGAAGATGGGCCGTGAGTGCCCTCACCACAGGGACTGTGTCCACAGGGCCCAGGGGCCAGGCCAGTCCCCCAGAAAGCTGTCTTGAGACCTCTGGCCCCTCAGGCCTCAGTGTTTAAGTGCAAATACTGCCTCAAAGCAGCCCCAATACCTCACCTAGAAGGATGAGCCAGTGATTTGGGAGACCAAGAGGCAGAAAAACCATTCCACCCTCTCCAACCCATCACCACATCTGTTGCTGGAAGACATCAGGTAAACCCCATGGTCTTAATGAGGCACCATCAGGCCAGCCCTGTGGGGTGGTGGGGACATAGCTGGGTTTTCCTGAACAGCTCTATCGGGGTGGGAGCAGGAGGACAGGAAGATGGTGACATTGGTTCATCATACCCCTAGGTCTCTGAAGGTCCAGATAGCCCTGATGGCGAGCTTTGGGTCCACACACTCTGGAAAGAAGACAGAAGTGAAGGCTTTAGGTCGGGAGGACAAGGAGTCACTGGGCACATGCTTCTCTCCTCCTCTTGTTTAAAGAAGGAGCCCAGGGAGGGATAGAGTTCAGACTGGACAGAAGACCCTCTATACTTTGCAGCTCTCATTCCTAGAGTGGGCTGTCACTGTCCGTCAGGGGGCAGCAGCCATCAGCAAACACACCATTGCCTCCAGGAGCCTTGGCTGACTGCTTGGTACTCACCAAAGATCCCTTCCTTCTGGGCGGTGGCCTGGAGGAACTGAAACAGCTGCTTTGTGTAGCCAGACTCTGCGGAAGAGAGAAGACCTAAACCTGGGGCCCCACACAGACAGAGCCTGCCTTGAGGACTGCAAAGGAAGAAGGGCCTCACCAGTATCAGGCAGCTGGCCCTGGCAGAGGAAGGCAGCAGCCTGTGTGAAAGCCTTGAGCAGTGGGCTGAGCAGGCGGCAGAGGAAAAGAAAGAAGTCTGGGCAGCGCAACTGCTGGCTGAGCTGGAGGGGACAGGTCGGGGTGAGTGCAGCTCCCCACAGCCTCCCTACCACCTCCCTCTAGGGGTGGCAGCTTCCAACACACCCTGAAGTACCGGCCCTCCGCCTCTTCGAAGTCATCACTGTCACTATCAGTAAAGTCCCCACTCGGTTTCCACAGCAGCTTTCTGCTCATTCGCTGTCGCCCTGTGTCACAGGCTGCTCGGGAGCCAGGGGTCTGGGGGCCGTGGAACCATTGTTCTCTGACAAGCTGGCCAGGGATCAACCCTACACCCCCAGACCAGGTACATGCAGGTGAATCCAGTAAAACCAGATCTGGAGTGCCCAAAAGGATGCCCAGAGCCATGCCACACCACAGCACCTGCTGGGCCAACTTGCAGAGTCAGAGAAAGTGAACACCCTCCCTCAACAGCCGCAGCCCTGTGGCCAAGAAACTTGCGGAACAGGAGGTATGCAGGGGAATTCAGAGGCACACATGCCAGTGCTGTCCAGAGACACATACACGCACCCAGGGCATAGGTGGCCATATCCCAAGGCCCAGGGCGCAGAGGTGCAAGCTAGGCTTCCCCACTGCACGGCCAGGGGCTTCCCACCCCCACAGCACACACAGGGCAGAGAAGGAGCCTGTGGCAGCTGGCACTCAGGGTGGGAGGCTGGAGGAGGCCAGGCCCCAGGCAGGGGTCTTGTCTCCAACAGCCCTGCCTCCTCAGCAACCAGGAGCCCACATTGGATGAGCCGGTCCGGCACCTCCTGACAGTAACAGTAGGAAGACTGGCAGGGCTAGGGAGAAAAAGGGACCCATGTGGCCTCAGTCGAGACAGGCACATGGGCAGGGGCCTAGCCAAAGGCAGGGCAAGGCCAGACCTACCACCCTGGAGACTTCAGAGGTGGTGCTTGGGCAGGGATGACCATTCCTACCACCAAGAGGGGAAGGCCAAGGACCAAGTGGGCCGCAGGGGAGGCCTGACCTGCAAGAGCAGCAGCTCTTGCGGCAGCAGGTGCATCAGCAGCAGGATCTGGCAGTACAGCTCGTTCTGGCTCAGCAGCTCTATGCCCTGCAGCTCCCAGGATCCCGGGGGCGGCACTCTGCCTACCAGCAGCCCCCGCACCGCACAGGCTGGGGGAGGAGGGACTGTTATGAGGAAGGAGCTGTTTCCTTAACACCTGCACACACATCCCACCTACCCCTCAAGACTCACCACCCACAGCCTTGCTCGGAAGATGGGCAGCAGCTCAGCACTCTGTCATGCCAGGTGTGTGAGGCCTGGGCCAGGCCATGGTACCACCAGCAAGTGGCTATGATGGCCTTGCCTATCACCACAGAGCTCATCACACTGGCTGGGGTGGGGTAGGACAGGAGGTGGAGATGCAGGTCAGGAGTTGAGGCCCAGCAGCCAAGTCCCTCCATTATCTGGCAAGTCTTCCTAGCCACACATACCCACTCCATACCAGGGATGGGGAATGTACACACGAAGCAGTGCATTTATCACACAGAGGCGGAGAACCAGGCCACAACCTGAGGGTACTTCCCTGGATCTTGTCGTAGGGCACACACACCAACCCTATCCGCAGCTAGGGAGACTCCACTCAGAAGGCAGGGCTGGGTGTGGCCTTGGGAAGCAGCTGCAGCCTCCTGTGCTCAGGCCATCATCTGTGTCCATGCAATTAACTGCTCCCTCATACCGCCCCTGGTTGCCCTGCTCCTCCTGCATTCTTCTTCAAGTGTCCCCTAGGTCCCAAAGAAGGAGGGCAGCTCAGGTGCAGACCCTCACTTGGAATGAAGGACCCTGGAGACCGGCTGACCCAGAGAGAGGGGACAGTTCAGGGACCCACCCCCAAAGGCCCAGATCTGGTTCACCCTCACCACTCAGGACATGATGGCTCAGTCTCCTGACCAGGAGCTGGTCCTCTTCCTTGAGGGCCAGGAGGGGCCCAATTATAGGGGTCCACTCCTGCTCCTTCTCAGTGTCTGGGACAGCAGTACTGGGACAGAGACAGAGATCACGGAATAAAGGCACCAACCTAAAAACAGTTGTGAGGAAGCCCAGGGCTTTCTGAAAGGTGAGGGCGTATCCCCCATCCCAGTCCCAGGACGGAAGATAGCATTTATAAACCCCAGCCCCTTCCAGGCCTCTGTGCCATTTCCCACACTCAGACTGTTAGCAAGGCGAGTGCCTGGAACTATTCTAGATCACCCCAGGATATTTGGTGAGGGAGGGCTGCTAGTGTGTTTGTGTCTATGGAGGATACATAAGCTGATGCTCATGATGGGTTGCTTGCCTCGCCCCTGAGACCGCACGCTCCCTTGCCCCTACCATTGGCCCAGCACGATGGGTTGCAGTAGCTGCTCCAGGGTCTGCCTGCTGCCCCAGCAGCTTCTGGCACTGATGGTGTATTCCTGCCCAGGACAAGGCTATTAAGTGATCTGCTCTGGCCAACCAGGAGACTTGCCTACAGCCCACTGGAAGTAAGCAAGGCTATCCCTGCAGTGGCTTTGAGGGCCAGGCTGCCAGGAGGCCCAGGACAGACCCCCAGGTATTCCCAGCCATCCCCAGCTGGCTCCATACCTGCAGGGAGAAGGACTGAGCTAGGTGTACCCGGGAGCAGATCTGACGGCTGCAGCCCAAGTGGCTGCAGAGGCTCCGCAGGACAGCCAGAGCTCCTGTCCACAGCCCGAGGGGGGCTGAGGCCTGCAAGGAGGGAGAGGATAACTGTACAGGCTGACTGGGGGCACTGCTCTCAGGTGGACATCAGGGCTGCCCACCCCATCCTGCTCTCCAGGGGTATCCTCAGGTCCCAGCCTGCTCAGTTTTATCTCAGGCCGCACTGGTGCATGACCTTGCCCTCCCCAAGTTCCTTTTTTCTTCATCAAACAGGGAAAATCTCTCCCTATCAAGGTCTTCAGAGGATAAAATGAGAAGATGGTAATGGCCCTGGCAGGTGCTGTAAGATGACTATAGGGATGATTCCTTTGAAGCCCCTGCAGCTCTAAGAGGGACTCAGCCACAGGACACAATATTGTGCCTTCTCTCTGGAACTGGTGTCCACCTAAGGGCCCCTTGCCTTATCAGCCTCTGCCCAAGGGGCTGGAAGATCTCACATTTTCACATGGTATATTTCACACGGTGCATCCGGAACCACATCATAGGTGACAGCCACTGGTACCAGCAGAGTATCTGGGATGATGCCCACCTGGACCGCCCTTACCACAAATCCCAGCCAAGCCTGGCCCAGGGCTGACAGCTGTGGCCCCAGGGTCCCAGGAGGTTCCTCCAGGAAGATGAGCAGGGGCTGCCCACTGACCAGCAGCTGCTCTATGACCTGGAATAGGAGGGGACAGAAGGGGTGTTAAGGCCAGTGCAGAAGCAGATCCCTGTCCCCTTAGCCTGGCCCATACATAACCACTGGGGGCACTCACCACCTGGACCACAGCCCTTGCAAGGAGCCCCTCAGAGCTGTCCAGGGAGAGGTTGGCCTCTGAGGGCAGGAAAAGCCCCCCCAAGCTTCCTCAGCAGAGCTCTGTGGGACATAGGGCAAGCCTGATAAGGCAAGGGGCTCTGAAGATGAGAATGAATAAAGAGCTAGCAAGAGTCTCAGCTCCACCAGGAATAGACTGTGTCCTACTTGAATACCCTGAGGCAAAGCCATGGCCCTAGGGCCTGTGGCTGACCCCTCCATCTAAGCCCCACAGGCTAAACTGCTGTGTGGCTGGGAACAGAGAAGCCAGGAAGAGGGACTTTGGCAGGGAGCTGCCGCCAACACACCCCAATACACACCCGACCCCAGCCTGCAATTTCTCCCATGTGTGTCCACAGACACAAGGTTTTAACCTGAGGGCAGGGGAGCAGACACGGGAGTCCCAGGCCACACAGAGCACACCCAGGCCCTGGGAGAGCAGCACAAAGGGCAGCAGGATCCCATCCAGGAGGGTTTTGTGAGTAGAGAGGAGGACAAGCGGTGAGCCCTGCTCCAGGGAGAGCCAGAGGGAAGTGCCAGCCTGCCCCATTCTGAGGATACAAGCAGCCAAAAACCCAGGGCACCCCCGGAGGGAGGGAGGGTTCAGCTGAAGAGTTCTTCCTCTGGGCACATTTCCAAAAGCAAAGGAGCCTTTACAAAACTTCTAAGGTAACTGCACTGACGCACTGACGTAATGTTTGTTAAGACCATGATGAAAAGACATTAGAGGAAG